AACCGAACCCTTGAAGCTCAAACAGGGTAAGCGTGATGTACACGCTTACGAGTTGTATAAGTTCCGACCCGGTTGATGAACACACGTTGGTTTCGGTGTTCATGCAGGGTCTTGCGGATGGTCCCGTCAAGACTCACCTGTTCCGGCTTGAACTAGATTCACTAGAACAAGCATTTCCATTGCGGAACAGGAAGAATTCAGTATGAGACAGGCTCGCGCCAGCTCGACATCATATCGTCAACCGAGACGATATGACACCGGAGGTCCAGAGCCGATGGAACTCTGTTATGTAGAGAGCGAGAAGGCTCGCTCTACAGACTACAAGAAGTTGCAGAGATGCAACGGATGTCAAAAGACAGGACACTACGCTTACGATTGTAGTCCCCCTCGTCCAGTGTCTTGCACCACTGGGCGTAGTGACCGTCCACCCATGAGAAAAAGGCAGAGACGCGGGTCCGCTGTTGGCGCAAAGACGCAACAGCGGGATGGACCGTCAAAAAATGGACAGGATCAGTAGGTGCGGAGCACCCCCTGATGCGGAGCACCCACTGGTCCAGCAACGTCAAGAGAATTTGTAGGCCTCTTGACGAAGGTTGCTCCCAACACACAAACGTTGTGCGTTGCTTCTCTAGGTAATGAGATCTCACTCATTACCTTGAAACTCGAAGTGACGAATAAGTTGTCCCTTCGAGCTCTAGTCGATTGTGGGGCGTCCAACAATTTTGTGCGACGCCAATCGCTAGAAGATGGTCACTTTAAATTCAGTGAATGTGACACACCTCCTACGAGGATGACGGTACGTCTTGCGACAGGCGCATTCGTAACCGTCATGAAGCGTATAGTGAAGATCCACTATACGCTAGAAGATATTCAATATGACGATGACTTTATCGTATTGGATTTGGATGACAAATTTGATGTCATCCTTGGAATACCGTGGCTCAGAAGGTACGAATCACGGGTTAACCGGCAACATCGAACAGTAACGATGCCTGCCGCTTGTTCATCAGTATGGCCATCTGATGAACGTTTTGGAGCGTCCACAAGCGTGTGGATGTACTACGAGTGAGTGCGATGGCCTCACTTGTGGTACGGTCGTTAGTACGACTGCACAACACCTTGGTGTAACAAACGGTTACACTTCGGAGCAAAGTTCCGGCAGCTGTGAGGAAACACAGGCTGCGCCGAAGGTCCACCACTCGAAAAAGTCGAGTGGACCGGGACAAAGATGTATCCCTAGCGGGGAACATCTAGAAGAGAAACGATCGATCGCTCAGGTTAAGCGAAACGATAATCCTAGATCGACTGGAGAGTCTTTCGTAGAGGATCTCGCTGTGGTTGCGCAACCCCAGCTAGAGGAAGTAAAGGGAATAAGTCCCAAGATTACAAATACGGCGGAAATAAGTTCCCCGAAACCCGCGGGAATAAGTCCCCGGGAAGACGAAGGAATAAGTCCTTCGAAGCCTGAGGGAATAAGTCCCCAGGAAATAACAGAAACATTGAATGTCATAGTCAATAACGGATCAAGTGTAGGCGCTTATACACTTGATCTGATTGTGCCTCCGAAGTTAACTTCGGAGATCACTCAGTTGCCAACGCTCGAACATAAAAGGTTCTTGCGTGATCTGCGTAGTGGCAAAGTCAAGCAGATCTGCGTACTCGTCGCTGACGACGAGTGTGTAGCCGACATAAGGTCAGCAACAGTGTTCACTGAGAACGAGAGAGTTCTCAGTAGTTCATCTATGGACGAGAATGTCCTAGATGAAAAGACACGAATTGAGCGATATGACTCCCAATCGTGGGAATCGCTCAAGACAAATCCTCTCTATGAAGATTTGGTTGAATTCAAGGATGTATTCCCTGAAACTGTTCCGTGCGAATTACCGAAGGATAAAGGTATTCGACACGAGGTCGAGCTTAAACCAGGCTCGAAGTACTGTGTCATGAAGCAGTGGCCACTGCCTCGTGAACAAGTACTTGCGATCGACAAGTTCTTTGCTGATCGTTTAGCTGTGGGCCATGTGAGGGAATCAACTTCCCCACATAGCTCTCCGACTTCTGTGTGCGAAAAGCAACAGGAGGGTGGCGGATAGTGCATGCATTTAACAAGTGGAATGCTGCAACGGTACCGGCTCAGACGCCGATACCAAGGAAGGACGTAATCATTGATGGTATGTCAAAAAGTACCATCTTTTCGTCCATGGATTTGATGGATGACTTCTATCAAATCCTTATGAGAGAACGGGATGTACCCTATACCGCAGTTAGCACGCCTAGCGGCATGCTCTGGGAATGGCTAGTAATGCCACAAGGGCTTAGTAATGCCCCTGCCACGTTCAACAGATGTGTATCACATCTGTTGAGACCAGTACAAGAATTCGCGCCGAGTTATTTCGATGACGTATTCATCCATAGTCGAGCTATGGATGGAAAGTCGGACGTTGAGGTTCACAAGTACCACGTCCGACAGGTTCTTACAACCATGCGAAAGCATCACTTGTATGCAAACCTCAAGAAGTGTATATTTGCAGCAAGCGAAATACTACTTCTTGGGTGCATCGTTGGTAAGAACGGTGTACGTCCTGGTCCCGAAAGATCAAGGCGATCACCGACTGGCCTGTGCCGGTTGATGTCAAAGGTCTTCGAAAATTCCTTGGGCTAGCGGCGTATTTACATAAGTACTCACGCAATTACGCCGAGATGACTGTGCATCTCTCTAGTTTGTTGAAAAAGAACGAGAGGTGGTTATGGAACGCTGAATGTCAGCGCTCCTTTAATGATATCAAGCAGAGCTTGATACAATCCCCAGTCCTAGCAATAGCCGATCAGGACAGGCCATTTCATGTGGTCTGTGATGCCAGCGCTTTCGCAATCGGCTGTGCATTAATGCAGTACGATCTTGAAGGCGTTGAAAGCGTCGTCTGCTATCAGTCGCGTCAGCTGCAACCAGCTGAGCGGAACTATCCAGTGCATGACAAGAAACTCCTTGCCATGAAGTATTCACTCGCGAAGTTCAGAGTCTATCTATTAGGAGATTACCCTTCATTGTTTACACTGACCATGCGTCATTACGCACGGCAGTGAACAGCCCGCACCTTTCACAACGAATGGTGCGGTGGTTGTCATTCTTTGCAGAATACAACTTTACGGTCGAGTACAAACCAGGACGACTTAATGTCGTCGGTGATGCACTCTCACGTCGTCCCGACTTTGAACCAGTCGTGAACCCAACAGTGAGACAGTCACTGTTGCGGTTATGACTTCCTCAGTACCATCTTCAACGTTGCATGATGATGTGAGGCGGGCATACGCCCAAGATGGTGAGATTGTGAAGTCGTTGACACATCTCTCACAGCTATTCGAGAATCGTTGAAACGATTGTCGTCTGCACATCAATTTGCATCAGATCGATACACTACTCGCAACGGGTTACTGTATTATACATCCGTTTCTGGTGACACAACGTGTTGTCATTCCAGATGATACTGGTCTGCGTTTGCGGATCATGTTCGAGTATCACGATGCTCCTATAACAGGACTTCGTGGCCGTGAGAAAACATATCTCACGGTGAGTCGAGACTTTTACTGGCCCCGCCAGTATCAGTCTGTGCGAAAGTATGTTCGCGCATGCGAAGTCTGTCAACGAGTGAAGTCAAGTCCTTCACTGCGTGCACCTTTACAGCCTCTACCGGTTCCGGCTGAGTGCTGGGAATCCATCTCAATGGATTTCGTCTTCGGTTACCCAAAGACGCACGCGGGAATACGGGTATTCTCGTATTTGTTGACAGATTCAGCAAAATGGTACACCTAGTGGCTGTACCAGAGTCAATCACAGCAAGTGGCTGTGCTTGGTCTTTATCGACACCATCTTCCGACTTCATGGGTTGCCCCAGACAGAGATCCACGCTTCACTGCTGATTTCTGGCGTTCCGTGTTCAAATCACTCGGAACGCGCTTGAAGATGTCGACATCTGATCATCCAGAGTCAGATGGTCAGACGGAACGTGCCAATCGTGTCCTTGAAGAGATACTTCGAGGATACGTATACTCCTTTAAGAGTTGGAGTGAGTTTTTGCCAATGGTAGAGTTTGCCATTAACAACTCGGTGCATGCGTCCACGACACATACACCGTTTTACGTGAATGGCTTACGCCATCCGCGTGTACCCACCTTACTAGAGTGTAACTCTGGTTTAAGGGGGGGACTCGCGCGAGCAAAAACCGATTTGGTTCACGCTCATCACGCTCTGACGAAGAGGTCATTGCGTTTGATGCCGATATCGATAACATCGATATCGAAGAAGATGATGCCAGTGAGAGTGCGGAAGCCCTCACTGAAGAAAAGATTGATGTTGCTGCAGTGCGCTCACAGCACACTGAAGCTAACGAGTCATCAGATGAGTTCATACTGGCTCGTGAAACGGTAGTCCGTTTTGTGCAAGACTCCATCGCCGAAGCGGTGGATAAGCAAAAGCAAAACGCTGACAAGAACGAAATGGCAAACACTATTTTATTTATAAAGGTGAATTAATCCTACTGTCTACGGTTAATCTACCACGACATGTAGTGACTAACTTGGGTAGCAGTAAACTACTGCTCAAGTACATCGGCCCATTTCGTGTATTGCACCGCCTAGGCAATGCATACACGATCGAGTTGCCACGTAAGATGCGAACGCATCCCACGTTTTACGTTGGTCGGCTTAATCCGTACCATCAGTACGCTGCTTCTTCCGATGAAGAACGCCCTTGCGCTCAAGCATCTCGCAGAGAGCCTTGTGCTCCCGATGGTGGGCATCAACAAGGGTCTGAAGAGCAGCTATCTCACCCCGAGACCGATCAACAATCCCACGATCTACCCTTAGCTCGTCACGAAGAGATGTCAGAGCTCTTTCGTTCTCAAGCTGAGCAAAGGCAAACTCAGCTCGATGCTTCAAGACAGTTTCCGCCAGTTGGAGACGTCTGTCCCGCTCATGTTCGAGATCACCGCGTAACCCTTGCGTTACGCGATCACAGAAGCTCTCGGAACACACGGATCCCCACGATCGTTTGGAGAGCTTCTTTCCTCAGCCTCCACCTCCATTAGAGGACTCTCGCGGTGGCCAGCGCTATCTTGTTGAGCAGCTGTTGAACCACCGCGACGTGAACGGACGTCGGACGAGTTACCTCGTCCGGTGGCGCGGCTATCCCCCGTCCTGGGATTATTGGGAGCCCCGCTCCCAATTGATGGTTGACGTACTGGGTCTGGTTGAGCAGTACGACGCGGCACATCCTGTGCCGCAGAAGGAACGCCGGAGAAAGTCTTACCGGCACGTTCGTAAAGGGATTTCAGGTTGTCAATCCCTTCGTACATCTCAGTAGAGACACGAACGCGCCACCACGGGCTAGTAAGGAGGTAAGCCTCCTTAGGTGCTCGTGCAACGTTGTTTACACAGCATGGGCACGAGTCTCCCCAAGAGAGGCATGGTAATCCCTTCTCCCTTGACAGACGATGCAGCTTGTAGCGTGCACCAGTCGGGGTTCCCTTTCCAAACTTATCACAAGCTTTGATAAGTTTGTCGTTTCAAGCGTCACGACCTACATCCTCAAGGTTATGGATGTAGGCGTTCCACGCTTGAAGTAGTGAGGGACCATCACGCTTGTGATTCCCACTGTACCATCGATGTCTAAAGAAAGCATCGATGAAGAATTCATTTTCAGCGCGATAGTTTTTCGCGTTGGGGTCAAGGTGATGGATCCTTGACGAATCGAACAACCGTGTTCGATAACGATCACTCGTCGTCGCCGACAAGTTATCTATGAAAGATTTAGGAGGTATCCATGCCTTCTTCTCAGGAGCGAGACGCAAGACATTGCGGTCCCGCTTTTCCTGCGACGTGCCGACAGAAGGACTGGCACCTCGTTGCGAAGTGGTGTCAATAGGAGAACCGACACCACTATTAGCGCTATAGTCTCGCGACCTCGAGCGCCTTCGCTTCGGCGATGGTTCATCTGATTCATCAGATGAACCAAAGATGCTACGACGCAAAGCATCGTTTATGCCACGCTTGGCAGGCGGCTTAGATTCAATCGCCGTCGATACGGATCCGTCATCCGTATCAAGAGAGTACGAGACACCGAGCTCACACTCTGGGAAGACATGAGTGTCTTCATGACCAGCGCCTGCATCACCAAGCGACACAGGCTGAGTCGCTTCAGCAACCGATGAGACATAAGTTGCTGCGGTTTCTGCTTCGGCTTCCGCACAGAGACGTGCAGACGCGATCTCTGCGGCCTTGCTCGCGCACCGCATGGGCTTGTTAACCATGCGATGAACTGATGGAATGTGGACTCGGACCAACAAGTGTAAACCCTGTCCCAAATGATTTGGGACGAGTATCCATTTAGTCAATCAGTCACTAAAGTGACTGATGGTTAAGGGGGGATGATGTAACGGGGTGAATCGTTACATAACAATTTATAAGAAATTGTTAATAGAATATAACTATAAGAGTTATATTCTCAGAATATTGGCATAAGGACAAATATTATGTAGCACTTACGAGTAGTTCCTAATTGGTTGATATAGGCCATTATATCAACCAACGAAGACGCGCCACGACAGACGCACGCAATGAGTGGTGAGCAGATAACTGATTTACACATTTGTATTTAGACATAGTTAGATGAAGATAAACAGTGATTTATTGCAGACATTAACTACTATAAATACAGTTCTACTTTTTACTTTAACCAAGTACTCGCTTCTTCTCACCGTCTTCCTCTGCACGTACGAGTGTACGTGAAGTTACGAGGCACCGCCTTATTCTATCATCAGAATAAGTAGCTTGTACTTTCACCAGTACAAGCTTCATGGTTCCCCGTTACACGTCCGGCGATCGATCGGAAAACAGATGTCAAGTTGTGGAAGTGATCCCTCAGCAAACCAGCGTAGCCCATCTGGCTCTTAAGGCATCAACACTGAATGGGAATATTCTTATGCGCAGCCCGTCTCTAGGCCGCCAATAATTTCGTTTTCTCCAATGCCTCTTGACCCAAGTATTGTTGTGGCCTATTTTCTCTGGTTTGGGCGCCACCCATTCCTTAAGCCAGCTCGAACTTTCATAGCAATGTGCTACGATGCAGCTAGGGCAGTATTAAGAATAATTGTGACTATATTGCGCTAGGTGTGGCCCGCCAGTTCCGACGGTTGTAATGGCTGCGTCACAAGCCCCTCTTATCTGTATTGAAATCGTCACCTTTGACCTGATGGTCTTTATCCTGTCATTTTGTATGGCGAACAGGTTCTAAGCTCAACCGTGGGCGAAATGCATCAGTCTCCGATTGTAGACCAACAGCCAAACGTACCCTAATATACTCCAACACTGATTGTTGACTTGATTTTGCTCAAGTATCGGCTTGCTTCAATGAATGGCACGCCTGTAGCTGTTGCTCCAGCCCACGAAATCGATAAGCACTTCTTTGGCTGATAGAATTTGGTGAGCGGCTCCCTAACGTCCTCGGCATGCCACAAAATCAATTATGTTCATGACGCCAAGCCTTCTATTGTCCAAGGCGAGGACCGTAGAAAATGCTGGATTGATCAACAAGGAAGGTCAATACAAATTTACACAGTGGGCATGTGAACGCCTTAATAAGCAGATTTACACAAATCTGACCGCCTAGTACCCCAGCTGGCAATGATTTGATGTCTGTCTCGTCTGCTCTAAGAGCGCTGCAGGGAGTTAGTGTAACGGGTGGCCCGTTACATGACATTGACTCCGTTTGATGTCAATAGGGATATTGTCCAGCATGACAATTTCCTACCAATATTATCCGAGATAGACAATATTGAAGGAATATTAACCCCTTTTAAATAATATGCATGTGGTGCTCAAAGATTGGTTAATAAACACACATCAACCATAAGTTACCACCAATTGCTGCTAGACGCGCGTAATGAGTGGTGAGCAGGTTGTCGTCGTACGACAATCCAGATCATTTTAGATAGATAAAGATTAAGGTTGTATTGATAGCTAAACTATATTAAATACAGTTCCTTTTTTACCTTTACTTGACCGAGTCGTTCAAGTAGATAGCTTCCTCTGCACGTACTAGTTTACGTGAAGTCTCGCGGCACCCCGAGCAAAAGGGTACCCCGTTACACCTGGTAGCACTTCGTATTCCGTCCAACGACTACTTAGTGTCCGTCCAACATGATCATGTTGGACGTAGAAGACGACAGCTTTCACGTCACACGTGAAGGCTACTCCCACCTGATTGACTTAGAAGGAGGTATTCGGCCGCATGAGTGTGCTCATGGGCGAACCCGCCATCAGCGGTATGTTGGAGTCTCTAAGCAGAGACCAGCAACATGCTGCCATCAACAAGTTACTACAAGGGGAACTTGCCGTCGAACGAAAGAAGATAGCCTTGCTACAGCAGCAAGGTTTTTATCATTCGATGGGCGGGCCGACGCACATGTGTCGACCCGAAACCTTGAAGATTTATATCTTAAGGTACAAGGGAATCGTCATCGATTCCCTTTTAAGATGGTTCGTCGAGTTAGACGATGCCATCAGGGCCCGTCACATCGAGGGTGACGAGATGCAAGTCACCTTCGCTCTTTTAAATTTGACAGGACGTGCAAAGACTTGGGCCTTAGGGCTCAAGCTTCACGGCCCAAACATGTTTGAGTCGTTGGAGATCTTAAATTTTCGGCTTAAATAGATGTTTGAGCCGACGAGAGCCGGGTTCAGAGCACGCTCTGCACTCTTGAGGCTAAAGCAAGGTAAGCGTGACGTGCACGCTTACGCACAACACCTGCGCTACCTTGCAAGTAGCGTTACGGAGAACCCTGTTGATGAGCACACGCTCATCAACGTGTTCATCTACGGCCTTGTGGATGGGCCGGTGAAGACCTACATGTTCCGAGAGGACTTCCATACGCTGGAAAGGGCGATAGTATATGCGGAACAAGAAGACTTCAGCCTGAGACAGTCTCAGGCTACTTAGTCAAACTATCGTCCGACGAGGCGACAGGAAACAGGAGATCCCGAACCAATGGACCTCCGTTACATCGAGAGCGAGAAATCTCGCTCTCTGAGTCACAAACGAACGGCAAGATGACATCGCTGTCAGAAGATTGGACACTACGCTCATGAGTGTAGTGCCCCGAGCACTGCAACACGTCCGAAAACAGGACATGATGACCGCCGTTGGCCAAGGAAGGGTCCGAGGCGTGGGTCCGACCATGTCGCTAAACAGCTACAGCAAGTCTGACCGTAAGAAAACGGTCAGGGGCAGTAGGGGCGGAGCACCCTGCTAGTTCAGCAACGTCAAGAGAATTTGCAGGACTCTTGACGAAGATTGCTCCTAACACACAGTCGCTGTGTTACTGCCCCTAGTGATGAGGAGTCTCTCATCACTTCGAAGATCGAAGTGACAAGTGGAATGTCACTTCGCGCCCTAGTTGACTTTGGGGCGTCGAACAGTTTTATTTAACGCCAGTCGCTAAGGGGTAGTAGTCTCAACTATGTTGAGCGAGAGTTCCCTTTAACGAGGATGACGGTGTGCCTTGCTACAGGCGCATCCGTAACAGTGAACAAACGTGCAGTGGGAATCCACTACACGATAGAAGGAAAGCAGTACGACGATGACTCTATCGTACTTTATTTGGATGAAAAAGTTCATGTCATCCTTGGTCTGCCATGGCTTCGAAAAAAAACAGCCATGGGTCAGCTGGCAGCATCGATCCGTGAAGTTGCCGGCCGTTTGTTCATCGGATGGCCATCTGATGAACGTCTTGGAGCATCCACAAGCGGGTGTGTGAATGTACTACGAGTGAGTGCGATGGCCTCACTTGTGGTACGGTCGTTAGTACGATTGAACAAGATCAAAGTGTAGAAGGCCACTACACTGTGGAACCAGCTTCCGGCACCTGTGAAGAGACACAGGCTGCGCCGAAAGTTCACCACTCGAAGAGATCGAGTGAACTGGAACACGGATGCACACCAAGCAGGGCGCATCCAAGAAGAAAGATTAGTGTTGTTCAGAACGAAAAACATGTTGAAGCGAGGTCGACTATCAGATATTCGATCGTAAAGCAAGGCCGATGGACTGAGAGAGAGTCGATCGAAGAGGAATTGACTGTGGTAGTGCACCCACAGTCAGTACACGTATTGGAAGAAAGTTCCAGCGTTCCTGGGAGTGATAAATCCCGAGAGAGTGATGTTGAGGGTGTAGATCCCCAACCGCCTATGGATGTGTTTCCAAAATCACCGAAACAGTAAATGTCTTAGTGAATGACTGATCAAGTGTAGGCGCTTATACACTTGATCTGGGTACGCCCCCAAAGTCAGCTTCGAAGGCAGT